AGCCGCACACCACTTTCACACCAAGTGCACTTCAAGTTGATGCCCGGAGGAACTCTCACGCGCGGGGTGCATCGCGTTTGGTACCGAACTGCATGCTGGCATCGTTTTGTGCCTGCCGCTCGACAGCGGACTGCAGCAGCGCTCCACCGTATGTTGCACGCCGTTTGAACCTCTTTTTTCATATCCCTTTGAGAAATACCTAAAGGGAAAGGGAACTGGACGAAGGCGAGGCGCACTTCAGTGGAATAGCAGGAAACCAAAAATTCAGGGAAATGCGTCAATGAACTGCACGGCAACACGCGTGCCGGCGCACTGCAAGCCAGGGCGGCTGGACTGCAAGGGGAGGAGGGGTACACACCCACTGCAGTGTACGTGGGAGTCACGGCGCACTGCATCGGCAAGGTCGTGCTGCTCCAGTGGCGGATGAGATGGCTAGCGGCTCCACTCGATCCAGAGCTTTGCCGCCGGCAACTTGGGGCCTCCAGATCCGCTTGCTGATGGGTAGCAAATCCCGGGAGACTCCGCTGCAGTTCACTCGAGGCCACCGGGGTCCCTGGAGAAGCACCACAATCAAGGCCGCCGGTGACACATCAGGAGGCAAACCGGTGGCCCATGTGGACAAAAAATATGACGGCAAGGAAGACACCGACGCGTTGAACGGGTGGTGAGAGGATCGAGAGGAGGGCACTGCACCGGGCCTGGCTCTCCGCCATGGTCGTCGTGGTGGAGCTGCACGGGGGGGGGGCGAGCAAGCTGGCCAGAGCAGCTCCCCGCCGCTGGGTCGGGATCCACTGGGAAGGAGGTAGGTAGGGGAGGGAAGCACCTGCCCGCTGTGGGGCAGCCTCGGCTTCCCGCCCGCCGCCCCGCCCTCCGCCATGTGAGCTCCCCTGCTCAAGGTAGCGTTGAACAGGGAGCCGCCGGATCCAATCGGGGGAGGAAGGTGAGCCTGGGGGATGAAGAGAGGAGTGGGGTGGGTAGCGTGACGGGGCTCAGAGGCCTCGGCGGCGCGGAATGGCGGCTTGGTGTGGGCTGGATCCCGGCGGGCGGCACTGGGAGTTGGCCGGGGCAGTCGGCTGGGGCGGTCGGCGCCAGTAGTGGCTGGGGCATGCGGAGCGAAGAAGATGGGGAGAGGAAGAAGGTGGGAGGAGTGGGGATGATGGTGGATCCGGCCGTGGTGACGCGGATCTGGCCAGGATGAGGCGGATGCGGCTGCCGGCGGCGTGGTAGGTGAGGTGGAGGGTTGTGCCGTGGGGCGCCGCGGCTGGAAAACGACATGGGAGGTGGGGGAAAAGGAGTGCGTGCAGTTCTGTTCGGTACAGGCATGGGTTCGGTTTAGGTGGGCGGTGCCGTGATTAAGTGTTATCAGAATAAGCAATTCGGTGTGCAGAATAAGGTCTTAAAAGGTGTTATCATAATAGACCCATCTTATATATATATATATATATATATATATATATATGTCATGAATTAAACAAATAGTCATCATATCAAAGTTATACATGGCATACTCCCCTCCATACGATGCACCAACAGGACACTACTAACACGTGGATGGGGTGAACATCATGAATGTCACAGAAAATAATAAGGGATAAACACTTCTCTCACACGAGATTCAATTGAAAATAAAATCACAAGAGGATGAATGTTCAAAACAAATTGATCGACAAATACTAGGGGTCTAGAGGATCTATGATGATGAATACACCTCCAAGCTACATAAAAACTCCAAGTGACAATGAGTGATGGCAGCCTTCCGATGGACTCCGAGTTGATCTCTGGTGGTGGACTGTGGTGGGGGTGGAGTTTTAGAGCTCTAGAGAAACTGTGACAAAAAACATGTTGTATTCGGATCCATGAAAAATACAAATATATAGGAATTAAAAGGGTAATGCTGTGATACAGTCCTGCTGCCCAAGTGCGGGGGCCATGTGAGCAATTTGTTCGCCTAGGGTCGGCTCTCGTGTACCCGCTTATGTGGCATTTCTTCCGCTAAGTCAATATCATTTCTTACAAAAAATAATTTATGAGATTTGGTGTACGTATAAAAGTTACCATATCATATGGAATAAGGAGTGACATAAAGAAAAAAGTTGCACAAAGTGCACGAAGGTGCCTATGTTATTTCAAACTATGCGAGGAAGGCACGTAGATTTAATGTAAGTTGGATATTTTTACTATCATAATGTGTTAAAAGAACAATATTACGGGAAAAAATAGATATAGTTGACAAAAAACTAAAAACCAGGATTTCCATTCGGCAGTCATTCTTTTTATTCAAGAGATCATCATAAGTGTAATTACACATACCACAGCTAATAGATCTTCGTGATGCAACTAGATGTGTCACAAATGAATATCCAAGGCGGAATACGATAAAATTATATAGCAATGTGTGCTAGAAATTTTGATCAAAAACAATACGTGTGATTGTTAACATGGTAGATCTACTTTTTGGTATAGCACAACTTATAAACTTGAAAGCATTACTGGCAACTTAAACATTCATGTTCAAGTTGGTGTTAGTAAGATCAATAGGATTAATCTAATCTTACTGGCAACCGACTAGAGATCATATATTGGTGGTGCCATTAGATTTGAAATGATTAGGTGGATGATGACACACAATAAAAACCCATAACCGAACATAAGATGTGAGAACTATACCATCCCAAGCCACTATATATAGTCACGTTACATGAAAAAAAAATCATGCTAGGGTGATTGAAAGATGATTGGATTTTAAAAGTGGGGAATATCTAGGAGAAAGACAGTAAAAATGGATATATGAATTGCATGTTCAAAAATAAGTAAATGAATCTAAATTTCCCTAAAGGGGACAATATCATTCGATTTGTTTTAGGAAATACTTGAAACTTTTTTAGCATATTCGTATACAAAATTATATTCAAAGTTGCCTCTTGGTTATATTCAAAAACATGCATCTAGATTATTATGACTGTGTGTTTTGTAGTGAGCATGCCGAAGAGACTCCGAGACACTTGTTCTATGATTGCAATTTTGCCCATGACTCTCGATCGGGACAACATTATTCCTTCTAGAAAGCCTGGGATCTCATGCTTTGATGATATTATGTTCATCCATTGTATGTTGCCAGCAGCAATTGCAATGGTCATTAATTCAAGGTTGTTGGAGAATTTGGACCCAACAAAGTGGCAAGATATTCAGGAGAGAAGTGCCAAGCATAAACTGCTGGAAATTCAGACTCAAAGAAGATCTTTTATTCTTGCAGCATAGAATAAAAGAAAAGCATTTAAGTAAGCTAAATCAGTGGATTACTGATGCTTGCAGTAGTTTGTAGACATCTACATTAGTT